ATTTATTGTAGAGATGAGCTCTTGCCAAGTTGCCCAGGCTGGTCTCAAACCCCTGGACTCTGGCAATCCTCTCACCTTGGCCTCCCAAAGTGCTGGGATTACAGCCTTGAGCCACCCGCGCCCGGCCGGTATCTATACTTCTATGCAAAGATATTTATATCACCTTTGGTAAAAAAGGGAAAACTAAACTATATGGCCAGTCTGAGATTTAGGCTCTAGGAAAGTAACTTGTGATAGCAGCCAGTACCTCTGGATTCCTCCACCTGGCAAGATCTCGTCTCAGTCTACCCCAGCCTGGTTGCCTACCACGTCTGTGATAGATACAGGTGTTAGTTAATATATGAGTTGGGTGAGAAGGCAGGGAAGATGATAGCCTCCGTTTTAGATATGTTGGGTCTAAGGTGCATGCAGGACATCTTTGTAGGAAGGCGCTAGCTCTTACTTGCTTTGTAATCTCAGCACCTAGACCAGCTTCTGGCAGATATTTGTGAACTGACTCAGCCAACTAGATTGATTGAGACAGGCTGTGTGCCCTGCTTTGTGCTGAATGGAAGGCACAGATCAGAAAGATTCCAGGTTTCGTTACAGCCCTGAGGCAGAAGGATTGGACGGCCTTTTGGTAACTTGTTCTCTGGTCCCCAGGTATCTGAGATGGTTGTTGTACTAGTCAGAGTTGTGGGTTACAAATGACAGAAACCAACCATAGATAAATTTAAGCCGAAAATGACTTTATTGAAATAATTTGGGGTATAGTATTCATGGGAGGCTGGAAATCTATGCTTGGAGAACAGGCTTTCTCTGTTTAGACTAGAGATTCTACTCAGCAGTCCCTCCTATGGTTTCATTCTTGTTGATGATATCTGGGACAACCAGGAGGTGATTCCCACAAGAAGTAGGAAAAGGGAAATTAAGTTGTCTTCTGAGAGAGTTAGGCTGCCTCTTGACTTTGCATTTTTTTTTTTTTTAGTTGGAGTCTCACTCTGTCACCCAGACTGGAGTGCAGTGGCTGCTCC